AATGGCGACACTTCCTTCTGATAATTTAGCTTCTTTATAAAATGATTTAACTTCGTCTACAGTAATTATTTCATCAACTGTTTTATTTAAATTTTTTTTAAAAATTGTTAGTTTCTCATCATTATTAATAAACATTTTTCCAACTAATACAGCCACAGCAAAACAACAATTTTTAACTTGAGTTTGCAATTTGTCACACTTAATTTGCAATATACCATTTCTAACTTCTCTTTGATGTTTCAATACTGGACGATTTGTTTTACCACCCCCCCTACTATCATCATCAGGATTTAAATTATAAATAAGTTTTTTGTTTTGTTTTTCCGAATTGGTCTTTTTTTTCCTAAATGAGATTTTCTCATTTTTATATTGATGTGGGACAATCATAAGACATACATTAGTTTCCCAGTCATTATTTAAAAATTCTGAAATATTACTTTGTAAATTATGTTCAAAAGTATCTAATAATCTCTGTATAGTAAATTCCTTTAAGGGTAATAAGGATGTTGAAAAAGGTTCTAACGGAGCTTTTTCGAAAAAAAATCTAATTAAATCATTCTCAGAATTTACGGTTAATTTTGCTATATTGAGCAAATATTGTAATATTTTTGAAAATTGTTTCAAAAAATCTGGTAAACTGTTGAAATTGTTTTTTTATAAAATTTGATATATGTGATCCTTAACTTCACCATTTAATGTAAAATGGTATTTTTATATTGTAAATCAATTAATTTTTATTTTTTGATGTATTCAATTTTTCACCAATTTTGAATGAAATATACTAACTATTTTCTTTATTTCATCATTCGAAATAATTTTCATTTTTCTTCTTTCTTCTTCAATTTCTTCATTTTTCCGTTTTGGGTTTTTTTTTTTTATTTTTTCTTTATTATTTTCTTTTTCCTTTATTTTTCTTCACCGTCTACATTATCATGATAATCAATTTCATTTTCGGAACCTTTTATACACATGCAGTTTAGATTTAATTTTATAAGCGGTGTATCGTTGGATGGTTTACACATAGAATTACCCATTGCTAAAATTAATTAATAAAATGGCTGGAGAAACACTATGTTATATAGAAGTTCATTTATTCTTAAATGAAAATGAAAAAGAAAAATAATAAAAGAGCTAGTACTAAATGTACCTATCAAATACTGGATAATGATAAATGTATTTTATTCTCACCTTTCTTATTTCAACAATCAATTCAAGATTGGAAATCAGATGATAATGATGATAATTCTGTAAGGTATTATGATGTCAATTCATTAAAAAAGAATTTTCTTTTTTTAAAAAAAGAAATATATAATCTCGAGTCAAATCATTCTGATATATGTTTTAAAATTGAGAAATTAATTGAATATATCGAAACAAATATTGAACTTTATGCTGGAATAAGATTAATTTACTAAAAAATGAAACAAAGTATACGAAAAGTACAACAATGTGATGGAATTACCTTAAAAAATGTAAGATGTCGAAAAAAAACTTCAATGACCAATTTATGTTGGATTCACTTGGGAAAAAAATCTAATTTAAGAATTAAAACTTCAAACATTTCAAACGGAGGTAAAGGATTATTTGCATATAAAAAAACAATTCCGAAAAACAAAAAAATTGCAAATTATACTGGAAGACATCTTACCTCAAGTCAAGTAATTAGAAAATATGGTGATGGTTTAGCAGAATATGCAATTTGCAATAAAGGAAAATGTGTTGATGCTAATGAAACAACTGATGGCGCACCGAGATATGCAAATGATGCTCAAGGCTCACGCTTTAAAAACAACTCGTTTTTACTTGGAAAAAAATTTAATTATTTCTTAAAATCATCAAAAAACATTAAACCACACCAAGAAATATTTACTAATTATGGTAGAGAATATTGGAAAAAAAAAGTAAAAAAGTAAAATATTTTGTAAATAAATAATATTTTTTTATTGAATAAAATATATTTTTACATAAATGTTTTTAATTAATTAATTAAGTACACAAATTGATTTCAACTAAAATATCGACCCCAATATTGGTGCTAACAATGGTAATATTCCTCCTTTTTGACCTCTTCTTCTTTTACCCCTTACATACATCTGACCTCTATATGCACCTTTACCCAATTGATTATTTGCAATTTCAAATGCTTTATCCATTAAGGGTGAATTTACAAATTTTTGCTTTAGAACCCAGTATTCCTGATTTTGCTATAGCTCTGGCAGCTTTTGCAGATTTTAACGCTAAATGTTTTTACTTAATGCTTTTTAAATCCAGATTTAAGTGTATTGTGAATTTTAGAAAATTTAATAAATCCTCCTTTTGTCGTCTCCTCCTCTTTGACGTCTTCCCATTTTTTTAGTAATTTTAAAAAAATGTTATTTCAGAAATTCAAAATGTGATTTTGTAAAAAAATCTATATATATGTTATAACAATTGTACTACTTCTGCATAAATAAACAGATATTGCTTCCCATGCATATATTTATTGAATTTGCTTACTATTTATTTTACTTATTTATTCTTTTTTTAAAAATAAAAATAAAAAAATGTATAAAAGAAAACGAAAAAGAATTAAAAAAAGAAAATATAGGAAAAAAGCACAAAGAGGAGGAATTATTGGTGGACTAGCAGGATTGGCATTAAAGAGTATTGTTCCAGCTATAGCCGGTGGAGTTGTTAAAAAAATATTTAAATAATAAATTAATAAGGAATAATTTCTTTGTGATGAAACAAAAAATGTGTAAAAGGAAAAGAAAAAGGAAAAATTATTGTATAAGAGGATCAATAAAAAAAAAAAAAAGGGAAGTGGATATTTAAAGACAATGATGAATGAAAATAGAAAAAATAGAAAATTTGTATTTAATTAAATATTTACTTTAAATTTGAAAAAATAATTCATATCTATCAATTCCATTTTTTTAAAATAAATAAAATATCATCACAAGTTGACGTATGAAAATTAGGATCTCTATCAAATATTATCCCAATTGTTCAAATGTTAAATAACTACGTGTTGTTAATGTAAAATTAGGTTTTCTAATTGTTTACATTTTATAACAAGTAAAGTTATAAAATCATGAAACAATATATTACAATATTTACAAGATAATATATGTCGTGCATAATCCGTATAAATTTCGTTTTCTATTAAAAAATTATAAATTACATCTTTATTTACATTTTTCAATTTAATTTTTCAATTGTTTTAAAAATTTTTACAAGATATATAAATTTTACATCACTAACATATACAAAAAATATCTATATAACGTATTACACTCTAAACCTAAATGAAAACTATCTTTTTTTACAACCTGAGAATCATACAAATAAATGTTGAAATAATCATATAAAATTCTATCTGTTTGTTTATCTACATTAAAATAATGATATCTGCAACAAAAATTTTCATTAAATAATAATATTTTTTTATGTTGCATATAAACTTTGGGTAGCCAATAAGTCGAAATTAAATAAAGATGTTCGGTATTTTCATTCTCCCAACAACGTATTATCCCTACTGTACCATATAGAAATTCAATAAAATCTACATTTTTGTAGATGGTTTTGAATTTTTCATCATTTGAAAAAGATTTAAAATAAAGCGAATATTTTAAATCTTCTAAAGTTGGTTTAATTTTCAGCACTTTCATTAGTGACGGGGTTCTTTTCAATTTTCATAAACAACTGCATACAAAATACAACAGATATAACAATGGATGACCGGGATATTCGTTCAATAAAATGGTGAATACTTGGTTAGACAAAAAATCCATATCGTTAAACTATAAAAGAAAAACCATTTAAAAATGAAACAATTGATTTTTAATAGCATATTCATTTATATACATTGTATAGTTAGAGTTAATATCAACTCTGGGTTTATATTGATTATAATAAAAATTACAAGTATGTCCACCAAAATGTCCTACACGACAAAATATATATCCATTATGATCTATAACAGCACATGACTTTTGATATAATGTTTTTCCATTATTCAATCTCCAAAAAATTACTAATAAAAAAAGTAACATTAATTTAGTTTAACACACTTCATAGCTTTTTTGTCAGATATAATTTTTCTTTTCTGACCTTTCTTTTTATTAAATTCAATTTTATCATTGTCATATTCTTCTTCTTCAGTATCATTATTTCCGTCTTTTTTTAAATCCGCATAAATTTTATTCAACAAGCCATTTGGGTTTAATAAAGTACAATCCATATTTCCTTTTTTCAAAATTTTTAATAGAAAATTGTCTTTAATTTGAAAATGATCCTTTCTTTGTATCTTTCCACGAATAAAATGAAAGAAATCAGCTTCAATATAGTCCAGTATTAATTTTGCTAAGGTTAACTTGAACCTTACACAATAATAACACTTTTGACAATTCTGAAATTTGCTTTCGCATAGTTCTTTAAATAAGTTCATAACTCTATTTTTTTCGAAATATCCCATAATTTTTCCTATCAAAAAATTAACAAGAAAATCTATTAATGTTTTTAAAACCGTACCTGATTCTTTGCATTATGCAAATAAAAATATCTAAAACTTTATCTAGATCTTTAACATCATAAAAGTTCTTTTCATAATGTCTAACTTTTATAATAAATTGTTTTTCATCCAATAAAAATTCTGTGGGTAATTGATATACGTCTTTAAAATAACATTTTATAATAAAAACCCAGTATGTTATTTCATCAGTGTGACGCAAATACTCTTTCAAATGATCCATTAACTGTTTTCTATACCGTGTGATCATCTATAATTTTTTCCATAAATAATATCATACTTCGTAAGTAAAAGCAAATAATATTAAATTCTTACCTTTATTTCAAGCAACGTGTAGCAACGTGTTATTGAATTAATAAACAGACTTTTAGCATAGCTAGAGAAAAGAAATTAATTCGTGAGTAAAAGCAAATACTATAAAATTCTTAACTTTATTTCAAACAACTATAATCCTTCGTTATAGTATTTAGAAGAAACAAGTATATTTCATAAAAAGATATATTTCAAATACAATACAAAATAATTACATTGATGAAAGTCCGAAGTCCAATTTTAAATGCTAATATGGAAAGTTCAAAACCCAATTTACTGATAATACAAATTGTCTCGCTTCAATACATCATCCACAATAAAGAATCCTAAATAGCATTCAAACTTTTCACCATATTCATCGTCCCAAAACCAATTAAGCCAATCTTTCATTTGTAAACAAAGACATGGATAAAATCTTGACTTAGTTGATATATTACACATTCTAAATTTCACCAAAATATACTCACAGTATATTTTCACTTTAATATTTCCCTTTCCAATAAACAGATTTTTTAACGTAACTAGAAAAAAAAATTGCGTTATTAAAACTAGCTCATAAATAAACGCATTTGGAAGACTCTCAAGTAAAACAGACTTTAACATAACTAGAGAAACGTTAATGCAATTGTGATATTAAAAATTTAGGTCATAAATAAAAGGAAATAACATTAAATTCTTACCAGTACAAGTTTCTCCTCAACAAATAGCGAGAGAATAACGATTTCCAACAAAGAATCCAACCGATTTCCAACAAGATAACTTCTACAGAGCTTGAGAAACTTCGATGCAGTTGTGATATTTACGTGTTCTTAAATACTCTCGTTACAACAAAATACCCTTTGTTTCCGTTTCACCTTGAACGTTCGTATCTACATCTCAATACACTATGTCTTTGTTTGCTAGTTGCCCTTGAACATTCGAGAACACAAACAAACCCATTTACTGTCATCATATCAATTAAATATCAATTAAACATCTGTGACTGGTACAATCTGACACAGACTTCAACAGAATCGAAAATGAACGTTTTGTATTAAAATAAAATACAAAAATTGTTTTCACCTCTTTAATATATTTAATAATCAAAGCAATTTGTGTTGTGACAAAAATCGCAAGTTTTTACCCATAGAATCACACTTAAATTCAAAACAGAATACCATAAACTATAGAGAATACTAATAATATCTTAAACAAAATCCGTCTGGTGTCATCACGTCTATTAAGCAATTATCATCTATCTGCGAATGGTACAATCTGACACTGACATCAACAAAATCGAAAATATGCATTTTTGCGTTAAACAAAGACGCAAAAAAATTATTTTCAGCGCTTTAATGTATTTAATAAACAAAACGATGTATCTTATAATAAAAAACGCATGTTTAATACATAGAATCACACCTAAATTCAAAACAGAACACAAATAATATCTCAAACAAAGACCATTGGTTGTCATCACATTTATTAAAAATTATCTTCCAATGCTGTCATCACATTTATTAAACTATCATCTTCAACAAAATCGAAATATAAGATTTGTATTAAAATTTAGTAAAATTCTAACATTTTCTGTACAATTTTATCACATTTAAGATTTTCGCGTTCTTTTGTAATTTTTGATTGTTTGATTTCATCTTTACACACGAAAATATCGATGTACTTTAACTTGATCGTAATTTTGTTCTTTTAATTCAGAGTGCATCATCTCTAATATGTCTTCTATAAATCCCTTGAGGGTGTCGATGCGAAGTTCACATTTATATATCTCATCATCTATTATATTGTACCAATCCCCGTCTGGTGTCAAACCCATTATGATACACGAGTTACAAAACACACTTTAACCTTCAACTACCAACAATCGATACAATTTGTGTTGTGACAAAAAAACGCAATTTTTATTATATAAAGAAACAATTTTTTTCCAAATAAATTCAAAACAGAATTATGTAAATTTTAGACAACGCCAATAATAACTGAAACAAAAGCCGTTTGCTGTCATCACATCTATTAAGCAATTATCTTATGGGTGATGATGGAATCTAATACTGCTAGCTTCGACAAAATCAAAATAATAAAGTTTTATTAGAAAATCTAAATGCAAATTTTATTTCACCACATTAATATATTGAATACTCGATTCGTTTTATGTTATGACAAAAATCGCAAGTTTTAACATATGTGAAACAAGTAAACTCAACAACAGTATGTTTGTGAGGTCAAAAGGTTATATTTGCGCAAAATTTGATTTATAAAATTCAAGCATTTATCTCGTTTACTTCACTTGCAAGCATACACTTATCGCAAAGACAGTGAGTAAAAACGGTGAAAGCAAACAAAGAAAAGATGGGAAAATGTCAAAAAGAAAGAGTATTATGATACAAAAGACGGGAAGAAAAAAAACAACAGGATAGAAAATATATTAAAATATACAGTCATATTTGGAAAGAAGTTTGCGATGAGATGATAGAGTTTATTGAAAAAGATCAATTAAATTTGAAGAAGTCAAATTTAGACAAAGACAATTAGAACACGATTTAAAATTAAATGAACTAAATAAAAACAAAAAGAAGAAGAAAAAGAAAAAAGTAATAAGAAAATCTAAAGATTATTTAGAATTTATTTTTTAGATGTTGACATATCTGACAATGAAAAACAACTGCATGTTAATCGTCTAAACAAAATTTTTAATGAGTTATATTAAATTTTATATGAACTATATTTCACTTTGAAGTTCTTCATCCAACTTAGCTTGTGCTAATATTAACTTTACTTGAGTATTTTCTTTTATTTTTCATAATCAGTTAACGAATTGTTTAAACAATCGCATTCATCTTGTAAATCTTGAACATCTTTTAAATATTCAATATGCTTTGTTTCATTTTGCTCTTTCTTTTTTTCAATTCATCTTGTAAAGCTTGAATTTCTTTTGAAAATTCGCTAATTTTTGCTTCATTTTGCGTTAGCTTCTCTTTCGTTTCTTCTAATTCACTCTGCAAGTCAAGTATTTGTTTTCTAAATTCGGAAAGTTTTTTATAATTTTCGCTAAGTTCGATGTTTACATCATCATCATCAGATATATAATAAAATTTTCTTTTGAGCCAATGCGTTGTGTTTGGACTTTCATCTTCAGATGTATTTGCGTTTGATCCGTGTGATTCCATTTTATAAAACAAACTTAACAAATATATGACACGTTAGTTCTTCAATGCATACAATTTCAAACACATATCTTTTATATATACGCGCAATAAATGATTTTTTTGCAGAAAAACAAATTTCTTACAAATGCAAATATGAAGCGTTCAAGGTTATCATGCATATAATGACCATATATAGTAATAAAAACATGTTGTAATTCTTCATTGACGTCAAAAAATGCAAAGTATCTCAATTAGTAACTTCTAAACACTCAGTAATGTCAATCAACTTTAAAAGTCAAGGTTAAATTCTAAATTTAAGCAAAAAATAGTATCAGATTGTACCAAGTACAACCAAGGGTATGTGGTAAGTTCAACCAAGGGTAATCATACCATAAATAGATTAAATGAAAGGAAATACAATTTTTTATATCAAATTCCAGTAGTATATAAGAGCTTGCTCGTTAAAAATTTCTTTATTATAAAGAAAAATGGAATCAAACGTGTCATATGAAGATTTTTTACTTTATTTGAAAGATAAAAGAAACAAAAATCGCTTCGATATGTATATAAAAAAATTAAAGAAAAACATTAAAAGCAAAAGAAAATCAATTTCAAGAAGAAAATCAATTTCAAGAGAATAATGAATATCTCTCTCTACAAACACCCGTACCGAATTGGATAAATACTGAGAAAAATAACGAGACAAATTCTGAGACAAGTTGCATCGAAAATCAAAATCGTATATCATCATCACCAGATTCTCCACAACCCATGGATGAAGATACAGCAGAAAAGAGTGATGGTAAAAGTCCTTTGAATACTTATAACGATAATATTCAAAAATCATCTCCTTTACCCATAATTAATAATGTAAATTCAACAAAAGATTCTCCTACTAAAAAAAATACAACTCTTATGAATATCATGTCTCCAATCACAACTACAAGTATGATGTCACCAAACACGGAGTCTTTCTTAAATTACAATGTCCCCACACCGCGCACTTTTTTAAGAGAACTTGGAGACATTGAATTTAATCAAGATCAAGGATTTACAACTCCTCCTAATAATAATACTGTGATTCAAAATCAAGGAAATACATCTCCTCCTCCTGAACAAATGAATCAAGATCAAGTATTTGCTCATCCCAATCTAGTATTTACAAGTCCTCCTCATAATCTTAATGAATGCGTAGGAAAAAAAGACAATTAATGGATGCTACTGAAAGTATAAAAAAGAGAGGACGTCCGACCAAAAAAAACTTGAAGAATACAACAACGAAATCGGAAAAATCCTGAATACTCTTGTAATATGTTATCTTTCAACAATGGACAAAATTATGTTAATAGACAATTTTATTCACTTATAAAAGGAAATATAATATGTAAAAATGAGGAAGAAGCCAATTTTTTAATTGATCTTTTTGAGAGAAGAAAAAAATTACTTGATCAATTAAAAGAACCCAACCAAGAAATTAATTTAAACAACAATGGAGTATTATTTTAGAAAAATGTCTTAAATTCTTTTATATACATCAAATTGTAAATACTTCATCTAATACTTTATATAATACTTCATATAATAAAAAATTCATGTTTTTTGTATTTTATCAGGTTGTACCAGACAGGGTTCTTAAAGATGCTCGCTTAATTGATGGAATGGTTGTTGGTGTTAATAAATCAGTTCTACATATCGGACGGTTAGAAAATCCTTGTAATAATAATTGTGTCAAACAATCAAAATGTATCTTGTGACCACATTTTAACATTCCAATTCCAGTTAATGTATCTTCCAAACATATCATACATTGAACATGTTCGTTTTTGCATATATGATATTGATTTTTTCCTTTTTCCTTTTCGAAACACGATCCACAAGCATCACAATGAAATGATCTATGTAATTTAACTCTACAAACACCACATTTTACACAATGATAAGGATCTTTCGAATAATCATCGTAAACCTTACATTTGTCACAAAATAATCAGCCAACTTTTTCTTACACTTGAAACAATATTGATGAATTCCTTGCTCAAACCCACAATAATTACACATTATCCAGGAAATATCTTTTGGATTGACTTTTTTATTGCAAAAATGATCTTTATTATGACAATGATGACATGGATAAAATCTTTCACAACATTTAAAATAAAAGAACAATTTTTTAGAGTGTATACAATTTGTAAACATACATTGATACTTCTGTATCCGAGACATTTTTTCATCAATCTGTTTTTACATGGAGGGGTAAATTATATATATACACACATCTTCACCTATTCAGCTACATAGGAAAATAATTTTTCAACATTACTGCTCATAAGTACTTTCATTTGTTCAAAATGTTGATGATTATCATCATTTTCATCCAAATATTTTTTTAATACTTTAATAAATACTTCAATAAGAGATTTTTGTTCCAAGATATATTTCTTTTCAGTTGCATCAAAATTCATTATTAAATTATCTTCTTGACATTCATCAATAACATCAAAAACCCTGCACTGCTTTTTCCAACTCAAAATAACATCTGAAGATAGAAACACTTTATTCGAAAAATTAACATCAGCATCATCATCAGGAGTTAAGAAAA